TCGTCTGCTTGCTTTGCAACTTACCTTTCTGTGGAGCGGGCCCGGTGGCACCCTGTGCGGACCGCACTCCCCGCACCTGCCTGGGGATGCCATTGGTGCACACTACTCAAGCCTGCATAGGTGGGTATCATTTAGCAACCAAAACATCATAGTACAGGACCATAAGGAAGAAAAAGAAAAGCGGGACTTCATTTGATGCATTTACTGTATTTCAATATATAAAAGATGGGGGAAACAATTTTTTTTTTTCCTTCTATTCATACAGTGCAAAAGTAGGAGTTTCACTTTGAAGAAACTCCTTTTCATCTGTTAAGAGGAAGTTAAATTGTAGCGTTACAGAAAAAAGTGACGCAAAAGAACGCTGCAAACAGTCAGGCCATTTTATTTCCCTGCCACTTATAAAAGCCAAGGATTGTCCCTTTTATCAGCTCCAGCATCTCATGTGTGGCTCAGACGCAACGCACCGAGGAAGCCATGCCAACAAAGGACAATTTCAACCCAGGAAAAGCACGGGCCAAGGAAAGCAAGGGGTGGAGGAAACGGGGAGTGCAGACAAACTCAAGGTAAAAAAAGAACCTTTTCAGCCTGGGTTCCTTGTTGTCGGAGGATGAGTAATTAGCAAAGTCAATATGGTGAAGTGGAAAAAGATGAGAGCCAAGTGGCTGACTTCAAAGGCGTTTTGGACATTTTAAGTAGTCTCCTGCGTCGTAAGCACAGGGCTGGGTTGTGCCGTCGGAGGCATCGTTTTGGATCATTATCCAAAGCAGTTAGAAAACAACTTGCGAAAGCACATGTTCGGTCGTTAAGAAGTTATTTTTTCCACTTAGAAAAGGTTACTGCTGTTATAGACAAGTCTCCACACCAAACTTTAATGTCAGGCTCGTGCTTTGACTACAGCGAGGGCTTGAGGGTTACTAGAAAAAGAAGATCCTAATTGCTGCACCAAAGCGCTTTCCACAAATTCACACTCTTAATTGCCTGCTGTCTTCCCACTAAGGAATACTTCTCACAGCCTTCAATTCTCATAAATAATACAACTAAAAGAATGCTACCTAAAGCAGAAGGAAAATGGAAGCACAGGTACTCTAGACACAGAAGAGGTGGGTATTCAGAGGAGGAGGGTTGTTTTTTGTTTTTTTTAGCGTTTGGGGTAAAGTATTTGTAAGAGCAATCACTATAGTCTCATGCAAGATTTAACATGCTAATATATTTTCAAAAGTACATTCTTTTAGGGGTCCCTCCAGGGAAAAGCTGGGTTAAGGTATAATTATTATATATTTTATAATAAGTGTTTTTTAAGGTACAGTAATACCTCGGTTTAAGAATTTAATTTGTTCTTCAGGACTTTTCTTATAGCAAACAATTCTTAAACCGAAACGCCGTTTCCCATAAGAATGCATTGAAAACCAATTAATCTGTTCCGGAGATCAGAAAAAAGTAAACACTAATAAATCCCGCATGAGTTATTTTATCAAGTCATGCGGCATTTTAGTAGTGACAACCATGTGTTAATATTTCAGCTGTTAGCGGGGTTCCCCACTGACAGCTGAATGTAAAAGAATTGCCAGCAATTAAAAAAATAATTTAAAAAACTGCGTGGGGTCCCCCTTCCCATCCATACCAAGCCCTTCATGTCTGGTATGGATTTTGAGGGGAACTCCCATGCCAAAATTTAAAACAAAATGGCGTGGGGATCCTCCCCAAAATCCATACCAGACCCTTTTTCAGAGCATGCAGCCTGGCAGCTCAGGAAAGGGGGGCAAACAATCTTTCTTTTTAGTTTCTTAAAAGAAACAACATTTCCGTTAACTTTGGGGAAAGTGAACGCTAATTCTGTTAGCTATAGTGAAGAAAAAAAAAAAAAAGAGCCAGCAATTGCATTTTAAAAATCAGCACTGACATACACTTCGTATTGCGAAAAAAATTCATACAAAATTTGTAAACCGAGGCATTATTTTCAGTGGATTTTCATTTGTAAACCGAAAATTACTTTAACCGAAGCGTTCTTAAACCGAGGTATTACTGTAAATGTAAACCCAACTGCTAAAATCAAATATAAGCTTTAACATGTTTAGATCATTTCAAAAGCATTTTTAAATCTGCACCTTGTAAAAATACTTTGAGATCCTACCATTCCTTGTTCAGGTACTACCTGTTATAGGGTGACAACATTCTGTCCCCATCTCCCAATTAACCACTTCAAGTCCAGACACTTTCACCCCCTTCCTGTCCAGACCAATTTTCAGCTTTCAGCGCTGTCGCACTTTGACAATTGCGCGGTCATGCAACACTGTACCCATATTAATTTTTTTAGCATTTATTTGAGACAGATAAAACTTTATTTTGGTATTTATTCACAACTGGGATTTTTAACTTTTTTGCTATATAAACGAAAAAGTCCAAAAAATTTTAAATAAAAGTGTTTTTCTTATACAATTTTGCAAATAAATAATCTTTCTTCACAAATCTGGGCCAAAATGTATTCAGTTATCTTTTAATAAAAAAAATAACCCAAATTAGTTTATAACCAAAATTATAATTTTTTTAAAAAAAAAAAATTTATATATTTTTTTTTTTATATATTATTAGTGACACAGTAATGTACTGTGTCACCATAGTGACACTGGGTGATGATTTTTTTTTTTTTTTTTTTACACTGGTTGCTTTCATACCCATAAAGGCTGTAAAGGCAATCATTTCTCCTTCTCTCTGGCTGCATTCTTGCAGCCATTGAGAAATACTGTGTGAGCTGTGATTGGTCACAGCTTATCACATGGTACAAGGCTGTTGTGAATAGCCTTGTACCATGTGACCTCTGTGATCATTCACAGATTTCACACATAGTAAGCAATGATGTCAGAAGTGACATCTTGCGTACACCTATTCATGTGATCACTGATTGGCCAATCAGTGATCACATGATTGGGACCTCACACAGAGGTCCCGTACAGCGATTGCTGTTCTGCTGTGTCCTCCGGACACGGCAGGCACCGGATCGTAGTGCCACGTGCTCCCAGGGAGCGTGCACAATCCAAAATGGCGGGCGCCGTTTATGAACGGCAACCCGCCCCTGGACTGCCACCGTCCGGCTGTTTATATACAGCGGCCGGACAGGAAGTGGTTAAGGCAGCAGCAGAAACCGGATGAATTTCGGTCCATCTATGGGTAGGCTGGTTGTACTGAAGTTGATCTATCGATTTGACTTCAGTACAACCGGCCAGTTTTATTTTCTTTATGATCACTGCTGTTGGCTATAGCCAGCAGCAGTGATCATTGTATTCTGACAGCCCCCACTGTCAATACACAATAGCACAGTGGGAGGGCATCCTATCAATCGAGCGATTTTTCTTTCCTTCCACTCACGGTTGAAAGAAAAAAATAAATGCACAATGTTATGGCCAGCCTTAGGCTTCTGCAGAAGACAAGTGGCCATTTCATCTGATATTTTACAGGAATGGTCCACTGTTGTCGTCATTAGGAAACCCACCCTGAGAAATCTGGTGCAACCATCAGTGAAGTGCATGTAGATAGGAAGTGACTGCAAAGGAGGTCAGCAGTACTGCGAGTTATATCTATTTTACATCATATGCAACAATTTGGAGAACTTGCTGACTTTGTTAGGGCCAAGCCCATGTAAGCAGAGTTCCTTGACTATCGTCATGGGCTTTTATTTTTTTACCTTAACCTTCCTAGCGATAATCCCGAGTGTAGCTCAGGGTTAATTTACAGTACCAAAAGCAGTAACCCCGGACCACCCTATAGTGGTTCTCCTGCGATCCCGTGATCCTTACCTTGTCCTGCGATCCCGCGATGTCCTCCCACTGTATCCTCCGGCCGATGCCGGCATCCGCCTTCCATTCCCTGCGAGTGTCGGTATGCAGGGGGCAGAACCGGCGGGAGATTCAAGAAAGTAAAAATATGACACATACAATACATTGTAATCTGTTAGGATTACATTCCTGTATCAAACCATTTCACATACATTTTGTCCCGAGTGCTTTGTCCGGCACCCTGCCTGCACTTTTACTGTTCTTTCTGCCTGGAAACTGAGAAACATCCATGGCGTCCAAAAAGTGTCCCTTTTAGGTCAAAAGCGGTTTTAGACCGGCTAGAGAACAGCGATAGTAAATCAGAACCACTTGCAGAATTGAGTGATAATGATTCGTGGGGGAAATTCCTCATCAGACACTGAAAATGGTTCTGCGACTTTGCTCAGTGATGTGCGAACTTGGCGCTCTATTTCACATTTGTGTTTTTGGTTTGATTACATTACTGAATTAAATGTATTATTATATTTTTATTTTTTATAATTATTTATTATGTTATAATTTATGATTTCGTGTTTCAAACTTTATCATACCCGGGATGTTTACTAGACTCTTGTTCGGACAGATTTCAGTGAGTTATTCCTAAGAATTACAGGCCTACAATAAAAAAAAAATACATATTTCCTTGCAAAGCAATGTACCGCTTTTGACATTCAAAAATATTGATTAGTTAGACCACCATGGCGGTTAATGGCATTTCCTCATTCAGTTATGAATGCTGCACCTCAGCTGATACACAGATCTCCTTCCACTTGTCCCTACTCTAAGGGATAGGTGGCCATAGTGTGTACAACATCCGAGTGTAAGTCTCTTTAGTGCAGAGGAGCCAACGGGTTGTGTGTGCTCTATCAGGCGCAGCATAATATCAGCACTACACAATACTATTACAACAGAAACCTCAGATAACTGCAAAAGCATGTCTAAAAAAGCAAAAGACAACTAAATCATTAATTAGTTTAATAATGCACAAACAACTTATTGGTACGCTTACCACTTTCAGCACAGCTGAAGCAGTAAACGGTAAACATTTGTGGTATGTAAATCACATTTGTATGCACTCATCAGCAGAAGATTGGCAAGGCCTCTCCATCAATCAACACCCTACAATGGCTGGTTTCCAGACATGGTGCTTAATGTCAGAGAGAAATCCTCGCAATACCGGAGGAACTTCACTTACTTCTTTCCTGAAAGAAAACACAAAGAACGAGCCATGAACACGTGTCACATAGCAGGCAGGGCGGTCAACCCACACCTAATATAGTGAACATACAGCTCGTGTGGGAATTTATTTATTTCAGGTACTTGTATAACGCTGTCAGTTTACGCGACGCTTTACATACATATTGTACATTCACATCAGTCCCTAACCCTCAAGGGGTGTACAATCTAAGGTCCCTAGCTCACATTCATACATACACATACTAGGGCCAATTTAGACAGGGTCTAATTTACCTACCAGCATGTCTTTGGAGTGTGGGAGGAAACCCACGCAGGCACAGGGAGAACATGCAAACTCCAGGCAGGTGGTGCTGTGGTTGGGATTCGAACCAGCGACCCGAGTACTGCCAGGCAGAAGTGCTAACCATTTAGCCACTGTGCTGCCCATGATCCCACTCTATCCAAAATGGTGTCCTGTAGCGACATAGTGGGGGGAACCAACAAGGACCAGGCATTTAACATGGCCACAGGGGTGTACGTTTTTATTATTATCATTACAGGTAGTTACTGTATAAAGCCCAAAAGCTGAAGAAGCTTAACAGACTATAAGCAAAGGTTGTGGAGGGGCCCCTCTGCTTTCAGTACCTGACAGTTTCAGCCATTTGGGGACTTTGCTAGCATCTCTTTGAACTTGCTGATGGGAATCAGAAATCCCAAACTCCTCCTCGTAGTTCTCTGGTGCTCGCTGAGTAACTTGTGAGCTGGGCCCTGGGAGGTCCTCCAGGATGGGAGCAGTACAGGATCCTGGAACACGTGGCATTGCCCTGTCAATGTACAAAAAGTATCAATTAGTATATGTGGAAACAAATGTCTGATTTTTGTGTCACTGGACAGCTGGAATATCTAGCATGCTGAAGTGAAACGACTTGTCCCTACAAATAAATGCCTCTAACAGTATCCATAAACAGTCCAGTACTTACCATGAATGAAGACTGTTTGTGGTAGATTACCTTTATCTGTTTGGTCATCTGTCTGACTGAATGACGGCTACAAATGCCTGTATGTTGCCAGTAATATAGCCAGCATTACAATGGCTATATACTTAGATACTTGTCAGCAATTTATTTGTACATTATTATTATTATACAGTATTTATAAAGCGCCAATAGTTCGCTCAGCGCTGTACATTACAAAGGGGGACAGAACATGTGACAGAACAATACCAATACAATGCAAAACATGGTAAAATCTACATTTTTTTGCTAGAAAAATATCTTAAACCCCCAGGTTCTCTTTACAGAGATATCAGGGGTCAATTAGACCCTCGGGGGGTTATTTACTAAAGCTGGAGAGTGCAAAATCAGAATCACTTTTGCATATCAACCAAACAGCTTCCAGGTTTTATTGCCAAAGCTCAACTGAAAAAGCTGAGGTTAGAAGCTGATTGGATTCTGTGCAGAAGTGAGCCTGCTTCTGCACTCCCCAGCTTTAGTAAATAAACCCCTTGATGTCTGCTCTGCAGCTAATCAAGCACAGATCATGCTTTTGATTATTTATTACAGGTACTTCTATAGCACCATCAATATATATATATATATATATATTACATTCACATCAGTCCCTAACCCTCAAGTGGTGTACAATCTAAGGTCCCTAACTCACATTCATACATACACATACTAGAGCCAATTTAGAGAGGATCCACTTAACTTACCAGTATTGTCTTTGGAGTGTGGGAGGAAACCGGAGTACCCAGAGGAAACCCACGCAGGCACAGGGAGAACATGCAAACTCCAGGCAGGTGGTGCCGTGGTTGGGACTTGAACCAACAACCCTAGTACTGCCATGCTGCTGCCCCAGATACAGTAGCCAGGGAATGACCCAGGAGTAATGCAAAACACGGCAATTCCCGGTTTGTCCATTTCAAGGGGGATCGGGGAACGGATGTTCCCCAATCTTCTCCTGAAAAATATATTGGGGTATTTTACCAAAGTCCTGGGCTCTCAAGAGAAATGGAGAACCTGGGAACCACTATGGTCAGCAGTGCAAGGTGATGGGGTGGCTCTACAGCCGACTGAAAAAAATACCACGCTCAGGACTGCATCAGCAGCCATTAGATTGTTTCAATCAGGACATTTATAAATGTACCTTGGTACAAAAGGGGTTATAGAAAACAACATTGAGAATAAAGGTCTCTGCAATATAAGGGAATTATGCTCATCTCTCCCTCTGCCCTTGCATCCCTCTGATCCAGTGCTGTAGACTCATCAACACTCAAAAAATCTGCAAGTGTTGTATGTGTCGTCCCCCCCCCATGGTACCATCCTCTGATCCCTATATTACTACAGGAAGAAAGCACAGTGCATGGTGGGAGACACAGGTGTCAGACATGCAACGTGTTTTGAAGTGTTAAATGCCAAAGAGTCAGAGGAGTGGTAAGGTTCCATCACTGACATATCCTGTAGTGACGCAGGGGTGGGATGATGGATCTACCACATGGGGGAAACAGAAACTTGATATATCCAATGTCAAATGCTAAAAAGTGTTATGAAGGATTCAGCGCTGGAATGGAGCGATAGGGAGACACTGGTTTAAGCTAGGTATACACAGAGGTTTTTTTTTTTTTTTTTCCTTCAACCAATGAGTTGAAGAAAAAAAAAAAATACAGATTCAAACTATGTGAATGCAGGGATCTCCTCCACCACACTATTAAATTCTGACAGTGGCACCTACGCCCTGTCAGAATACACTGATCAGAGCTGCAGCCATTGCCTGCAGTGGCTGATTAAATGCTGGTTTTCCAGCAGGACCAGCTTTTGTTGAACAGAGGTACATGTGTACCAAAAATTCGGTTGGTTCCTGCTGACCATCGATACAGGATACACAAATTTTTTTCAAACCTGTCAGGGTTGCTTTTATCAAAATACAATTTAAAACTGGAATGGATCTTTTTGGGCATCGATGAAGTGGTTATGATAAATGTTTAATCTAATCTTTCATCATTTGGCTGCTAGGAAATTATTTCAGTTGATAGAAGACTAAAAGCTACCAAACTGCAACAAATCTGTCCGATGTATGGCCAGACAAAGCTGGCCAGCCCACCCTGTTGCTAAATGGCCTAAAAGAATATTATGGCTGCATATCCTGTTGCATTTATTCTTTCAATACAAAATCATCTTGGGAAAAAAAAAAATGATGTTGCTAAGAGTGTACCTGGCGACCACCAAATCTGCTTGAGAAGGCGACACTGGTTCTGTCAGTAGACGATGTTGCAAATAATGATCTGTAAAACAGAAATAAAGGTTCAATACAATACATATTACCTTAAATGGTGTGTCCACTTTGAGTTTTGTAGATTATCCACTAAAGTAACTCTAAGTGTGATAAAATCAATAAAGAAAGAGAAAGTATGTAAAAATGTCACATGAATAAGGTGAAACTCCAATTAAAGCCAAAATATATTCTGGATTAAGGAAGGTTTATAAACTCTGCTTTCCATCTCAGTTTATGGTGGGGAGATTATCCCTCAACTTTGGGACTTCCCAAACTAGAACCAAGCCAATAAGTACTTAGGGGCGAAGAAACCTGCTTGTCCTTAGAAACCTCCCCAATCCTCAGAAAAAGAATTGGAAGAGCAGATGCAATGCAAAAGTCTTTGCAGCCTTAACAACTTTAACTGAACCAAGGCTGGATAAAACACTGGTAGAAAGCGACAAGCTGATCCACTAACTTCAGAGTAGTGTGTACCACATTAACAAGAGCAGAGATGGTCTTCTTTAACTGAGGAGTAATGGCGGTAGACTGCGACTGCTTACCCTGAGGAAATTTTCACCCTGTTCCAAAATATATATCCGTACCCCTTTGAGTCATTATACAGATGGATAATAGAGGAAGCAGTAGGAATGAATGTGTGTAATTTTATGACATATAATGTAAAAGGATTGAACACTCTGACTAAAAGGCATAAGATCCTTAGGGAAATTCATCAACATTCTATTGATGTTGTGTTTTTACAGGAGACACATTTATCCCAGGATACAAATATTAATTTATACTCCAAATATTATCCAACTTGGTTTTGTGCGAACTCACCAATCAAACGTGAAAAGGGGTGGCGATTGGGTTAGCAAAAAATGTTAGTTTTGCTATGGAAGATAGATTGATAGACCCAGATGGTCGGTTTTTGGTTTTGAGAGGGAAATTACAGGGAATTGAATGTACATTAGTGAATATCTATTGCCCTAATAGGAACCCAGTGGTAAAATCTGGAGGGTTTATTAAGAAAACTTATAGATTTTAAGAAGGGTCAGCTGATTGTGGCAAGAGATTTTAATTTCTGCATGGATCCATGGATGGACACATCATCACAGGCGCAGAGGGATGGAGGTAGTAGTCTAAGGTTGGTTAAAAAAATGTTATATCAGTGTCAATTGCTGGACACATGGAGAATTAAACATCCAAGAGACATAGATTATACCTTCTTCTCTCCGGCGCACGAGATGTACTCAAGGTTGGATTATATAATCATAGAACACAGACTCTTGGAGTCTTTGGAAAAGTCCAATATTGAAGTAATGTCATTATCAGCTCATGCACCTGTCACAATGAGATTAAGATGGGGAAGGGAAAGGAATAGAAGTAACACGTGGAAACTAAATTAGATGCTTATACAGGAATTAGATACGGAGATAAAATTAAAGGAGATAGATCAATATTTTATACTCAATGAGACTGAAGAGGTATCCTTTGCTTCAGTCTGGGAAGCACATAAGGCATAGATTAGGGGAATTTTGATCTTGATAGGGGCCAAAAAAGAAAGAACAGGGAAAGAAAATAAAACTACTGAGGAATTATATGACCTAGAACAATAACATTACAAGAAAATACATGCAGAGATAGAACAGAAGATAACTCTGAAAAAGAGAGGAATTGAAGGATATAATGGAACAGGAAATGAGAAGAGTCTGTAAAATGGTGGCTAAAGAAAGATGCCATGGGGGAATAGACCAGGAAAATACTTAAAGTGGAGTTCCACCTGCAAAAAAAAAAAATAAAAGTCAGCAGCTGCAAAAACTGTAGCTGCTGACTTTTAAAATACAGACACTTACCTGTCCCTCGGTCCAATGGTATCCTCACCGGCCGTCTTCTCTCCCTGGCGCCGGCATCTTCAGTGTGGGCACCCGCCTGTGAGAGCTTGCGGCTTCACAGCCGGGTGCCCACTGCGAATGTGAGAGAAGCGCTGCGCTTTGTGAATGGCCCTGTAGTCTTCTGGGACCTGTCAAGTGTCCCAGAAGACTATGGGGAGGAGGACAGCTTCCACTTCCAATCGCCCAGGCGATCGCAGCGGAAGTGGGAACGGGTACCTGTCAAATTCAGGTCCCCGCTCCCCAAAGGTGCCAATCCTTAATGGGGAGCAGGGGACAAAGGCTTAAAGCGGAACTTCCCCTTTTGGGTGGAGCTCCACTTTAATGAGAAGATTAAGGGAAAGGAAGTCGAGGAATTATATAGAAAAAATTAAAGATGAGAATGGAGAAATGGTTTTTTCAACCACTGATATCGCTAAAACGTTTAAAAAATATTATAGCTAATTATATGATATAAAATCTAAAAATCCGAAAGAATCAGAGGGAGAAAGAAAGGAAAAAAGGCAGTTATATGTAAAAGAGGCCAGATTACCCAAAGTAGAGGAAGAGAGGTTAGTAGCCTTGGAAAAACCAATATTGCAGGAGGAAATCCTGGCAGCGTTGAAGGGCACAGCCACAGGAAAGAGCCCTGGACCAGAAGGTTATCCGTTGAGATATTATAGGAAATTTAAAGAACAACTGGTGCCTAAAATGTTCCTGTACATGAATGAACTAGGAGAGGGGATGGAAATGAGGGAGGAGTCACTGCAGGCATACATTACAATTATACCGAAAGAGGGGAAAGATCTATCCCAATGCACCAGCTATAGACCTATATCATTAGTGAATATATGCAAAGGTTTTAACAAACAGGATGAAGGAGTTGTCGGATTGGATACATATAGACCAGGTTGGATTTGTACAGCAATGGGCAAACTACGGCCCGGTGGACCTTTTAATCCGGCCCGCGAAGCTAGGCTCCCGCTAGGCTCCTCTCACAGTCCGCCCTGAAGACCGGTGCAGCATGAAAATCTGTCTCCTGTGAGGATCTGTCCCCCTCGACGTATCTGCGCATGTGCCGGAGATCGCCGATCGGCTGCTAATGCCTGAAACTGGCACATGCGCAGATACGTCGAGGGGGACAGATCCTATATGGGGATGAATTACTATATGGGGGATGAATTACTATATGGGGGATGAATTACTATATGGGGGACGAATTACTATATGGGGGACGAATTACTATATGGGGGACGCATTACTATATGGGGGATGAATTACTATGGGGGACGAATTACTATATGGGGGATTAATTACTATGGGGGATGAATTACTATATGGGGGATTAATTACTATGGGGGAATATTACTATACTTACTATGGATGACACATACACATCATTCATCTACTCTTGGTCCGGCCCCCGGGTCCAATATATGAACCCATTGCGGCCCTCAAGTCAAAAAGTTTGCCCACCCCTGGATTTGTACCATTGAGATCATTGCTTCTTTTGCAAAAGACTAAGAGAGACTGGTTCGGCGTTGGTTTTGTCGATTGATGCTGAAAAAGCCTTCGATAGGGTGGATTGGGGATTCACGATTGATACATTGGAGGTATTAGGAGTTGGACTCAGGATGGTAAAATGGATAAAAAAAGCTATATAATTTTCCATCAGCAGCAGTGAAGGTCAATGGTTCATTGTCACATTTTTTTAAAGTGTACAATGGAACAAGGCAAGGATGTCCACTCTCTCCTTTGCTTTTTGTTATATCTTTAGAACCGTTATTAGTGACTGTTTGAAAGAATATAGATGTAAAGGGAATTTTACCAGGAGATGAAGATCATAAAGTCGCGGCTTACGCAGATGACATGTTATCTTGTATCGTGAACCCTAGAGTAACATTACCCAACCTAATGAAAATGTTAAAATACTATGGAGAGCTATCAAAACTGAAAATTAACCCTTCAAAATAAGAGATATTAAATATTACAGTTCCAAAGACAAACAGATTTTACAGAAAGCTTTTCCCTTTGTATAGAGAAAAAGAGAATCAAGTTATTTAGGAGTAAAGATAACCCCTTCTCTAAAGAACCTTTTATCAGATTAATTATATCCCATTAATAAATGAGTTAAACGATGAACTGAGGAAAATATCAATAGGGTTACATAAATATGGTAAAGATGGTGATAGTTCAAAAAATCCTGTATAAATTCCATATGCTCCCGATATATCTACCGGGGTCATTCTTTGGAATTATAAAAAAAGATGATACTTAAATATATATGGGCAAATAAAAAAAACAAGGGTTAGTTATGAAGTATTGTGTAGAGATAAAAATAATGGGGGTTTAGGTGTGACGGATTTTAGGAGATATTGTTCTGTGCTGATTTCACGAATAGCCGACTGGTTATATTATACACAAGGGAAAGTTTGGCTAAAAATGGAAAATACACATAGTGGATCACAATTTGGCTCCCACAACAGTATCGAATTTTTTCAGAATATACAAGCACTTTAACACGGAATGTTATAAGGGTATAAGATTAGAATTCATAAGCAAATGGGGTGGAAGTACAACTCACTGTTATTACCGTTGGAGGGAACAGATCCCTTCCCTCCAGGGAAAGATAATATTGCAAGTAAAAGGATAAAAGATAAAAATGCACGTTTGAAAGATATCACTGAAAAAAGGGGAATTGTGTTCTTTTTTAGATTTATTATTGTCAACTGAGACATTTTGTTGCAGCATTCCCGCAGTCACTAAGGGCGGTGGATTACATGTATCCATTGGAACATTTTTTTCAGTCAGAAAACAATACGTAAACATGTAACTTCTGGACCAAAAGTAATTGGACAATTGAATCAAAAGCTATTTCATGGCCAAGTGTGGGCTACTCCTTCCTTATTTCTTAATTGATTAAGAAGGTAAAAGGTTTGGAGTTGATTCTAAGTGGAAAAAGGAGCTGTCCATGCAAGTGAAACAGGCCATTGTAAGGCTTCAAAAACTAAAATCCATCAAAGAGATCACAGCAACATTAGGAGTGGCCAAATCAACAGTTTGGAACATTCTGAGGAAAGAAGAACGCATTGGTGAGCTCATTCTTTGGACGGATGAAGCAAAGAATAATAGAAAAAAGTGTGGAGAAGGCTTGGAACAGCTCATGATCCAAAGCACACAACGTCATCTGTAAAACATGGTGGAGGCAGTGTGATGGCATGGGCATGCATGGCTTCCAGTGGCACTGGGTTATTGGTGTTTATTGATGTGACAGACAGAAGTAGCCAGATGAATTCTGCAGTGTTTAGAGATATACTCTCAGCCCAGATTCAGCCAAATGCAGTAAAGTTGATTGGACGGCACTTCACAGTACAGATGGACAATGATCCAAAACACACTGCAAAAGCAACCCAGGAGCTTTTGAAGGAAAATAAGTGGAATATTCGGCAACGGCCGAGTCAATCACCTGATCTGAACCCAATTGAGCATGCATTTCACTTGCTGAAGGAAAAACTAAAGGCAGAAAGACCCACAAAGAACTGAAGACAGCTGCAGTTAGAGCCTGGCAAAGCATCAGAAAGGTGGAAACCCAGTCTTTGGTAATGTCTGTGGGTTCCAGACTTCAGACAGTCATTGCCGGTAAAAGGATTCTCAACAAAATATTAAAAAAATGAACTTTTTATGATTATAATCAATTGTCTAATTACTTTTGGTCCCTTGAAAAAAGGGGGGTGGCTACTCTTAAGAACTGTAATAACTAAACCCTTCCTCCAATTTGGATGTACCTACCCTCAAATTAAACCTAAGTGTGCACTTTCAGCCCATATCCATTATATAACTATAGCCTGAATATGTTTTGGTAAATACCTGAAAAAACTAAAATTGTGCCTGTGTCCAAATATATATGGACCTAACTGTATGGTAGGGGTTTTTTTTGCTCACACATATACTTTAACTGCTTCCCTGCCGCACTATAGCAGATATACTGCTACAGGGCGGCATGGGTGCGCAAAATCACGTATATATTTGTGATTTTGCATTTCCGGGTAGGGGGCACGAGCCCTAACCACACCGCTATTCGCGGCCGCAGCTGTCAATCACCATGTTCCGGCCAGTGATTACCCGCCGGCACCCGGTGATTGCTGAGCATCTCCGGAGGGAAGGAGGACTGCTTTGTTTACTAACAGACCTCCTCCCTGTTGGCTCGGGCACACTGCTCTGGATGGCTGTGCACAGCACAGCCATCCAAAGCAGTATGCTTACAGTGAAGCACCAACACATCGCCCCCCAATAAAACACTCCCAGCACACAGTTAACCCTTTGATCACCCCTCATGTTAACACCTTCCTGCCCAGTGCCATTAGTGCAGTCTCAGTGCTTTTTTTTTTAGCACTGATCACTGTATTGGTGTCACTGGGGATGTCAGGGACACCAAGTTAGTTCCCCCCAGTGTCAGAATGCCCGTAGCAGTCCCTCTATAAGTTGCTGATTGCCGCCATTATTAGTATAAAATAAAAAAAAAAAAAAATTCCGGTATCTATACCGCCATTTGTAAATGCTATAAAACTTTCACGTAAACCAATTAATTTACGCATGTTGGTATTTTTTTTTTTAAGCACAGACATTTTGGACTAAATTTATGCTGAAATTAGATTTTTAAAAAGTTTTTACTGGACATAATTAATAGCAAAAAAGTAAAAAAAATATTGCTTTTTTTTTCCTCAAAATGGTCGGTCTTTTTTCTTTTATAACGCAAAAAATAAAAACCGCTCAGGTGAACAACGGCCACCGAAAGAAAGCGCTATTCGTGGGGAAAAAAGGACGTAAATTTCATTTGGGTGCAGTGTTGCATGACCGTGCAATTGTCAGTTAAAGTAACTCAGTGCCTTAACGCAAAAAGTGGCCTGGAAGGGGGGGGTAAATCTTCTGGAGGGCAAGTGGTTAAACATCATGGCTACCAATCCCATTTCCCAGGTGAAAGCGGCCTGTCTACAGCCAACCTATCAGTGCTACAAAGCTGTTTCATTTGTTTTAATTGTATATTCAAATGATTTAGTAAGGGCATATTTAAAAAAAGAAAAAAATGATTTGCTCTAATTTCTTTTTATACTTAAACCTGACATGTACAGTATTTCATCCCCTGTGGTTCTCAAATACTAGCAGAGATGTTCAAAGCTTGGACTTGCGGTTGATTCTGCAATAGATTTGTGTGTTCGGCACTGCCGTCTTAATAAATAAGAGCTCGAGTCTGTCTGCCCGCTGTCGCAGCAGAGTTTTTGTAGTTGGTCACAAGTGATTTTACATAAACAATTCTAGACAGTAATTAACTTGCTGGCGTGTCTCACAGATGAAGTTTAAACTGCTGGTACAAAACCCCAGTGTGGTCCCCAAGCACATGGCGAACACATGTAGAGGCTCCACATGACAAACACAGTTTTGAAGTGTCTGTGTGAATGAGCCCTGAGACACCTTGCTGTCTCTCAAAGTTGCTGTCTGCTCCGACATGGAAATTCTGCATTCAAAATGCAATGGAGACACAGAGTAGTATTTACCACGAGGCAGTGCATGTGTGGCAATGGGTGAGGATGGGGGTGAAGTACAGGAGCAGTGGAGCTGCCACAAAGACAACCTCATTGCTTCTGTAGCTTTAGAGGGATATGTTTAAAACTCATTAATTGATTTCTAAAAATATGAAAATAAGTGTGTATTCATAGATTGGCCATGGGCTATGAGAGTGGAATGGATTTATCTTCTGAATATGGATGCTTTATTAACAGAATTTCTATAGCATTCCCACCTTCTAAACAGCCCTCAAATCTGAACCTTGAAAAAGCTGTGGATGGTGTGCTCCCTGTACAAGATGTGGCCTCTTCCTGATCCCTCTCAAGTCTTGCTAACACTCACCGGACCAAGAAAGGCACACTTCAGTATACAGAATCATGTGACTAGAGACACCGGTTCCCTCTAGAGCAGGGGTCTCCAAACTTCCCGACCAAAGGGCCAATTTACTGTCCCACAGGCCTATTGGGGCCAGACTGTGGCCAGTGGGTGCAAACAATGCCACATCTTTGGTTTTAATGGGAGGAACTGTGCCCCATTGATGATGTCAGTGGAAAGAATGGTGCCCCTTTATTGGTGTTAGGTGGAGGAACCGTGCCTCATTGTTGGTATCAGTGGGAGGAATAGTACACCATTGATGATGTCAGTGGAAGGAATGGTGCCCCTTTATTGGTGTTAGGTGGAGGAACCGTGCCTCATTGTTGGTATCAGTGGGAGGAATAGTACACCATTGATGATGTCAGTGGAAGGAATGGTGCCCCTTTATTGGTGTTAGGTGGAGGAACCGTGCCTCATTGTTGGTATCAGTGGGAGGAATAGTACACCATTGATGATGTCAGTGGAAGGAATGGTGCCCCTTTATTGGTGTTAGGTGGAGGAACCGTGCCTCATTGTTGGTATCAGTGGGAGGAATAGTACACCATTGATGATGTCAGTGGAAGGAATGGTGCCCCTTTATTGGTGTTAGGTGGAGGAACCGTGCCTCATTGTTGGTATCAGTGGGAGGAATAGTGCACCATTGATGATGTCAGTGGAAGGAATGGTGCCCCTTTATTGGTGTTAGGTGGAGGAACTGTGCCCCATTGTTGGTATCAGTAGGAGGAATAGTGCACCATTGATGATGTCAGTGGAAGGAATAGTGCCCCTTTATTGGTAAATCTAAAGCAAAATTCTCAAGAAAATTGGATAATGTATGGCCAGCCTTACAGTGCATTCATAAAGTATCCAGCCCTCCTTCACTTTTTTTCAATTTTGTTATGTTGCATCCTAATACTACAGTTGTTTACATTAATTTTTTTCTCATTAATCTACACTTAGTACCCCATAATTACAAAGTGAAAACAGAATTTTAGAATTGTTTGCTAATTTTTGAATAAGACTGAAACATCACACTGGCATAAGTATTCAAACCCTTTGCAACAACACTTGAAATTTAGTCAGGCGCCTCCCATTTCTCCTGATCATTGCTGAGATGTTTCTACACCTTGGTTGGTCTCCACCTGTGGTAAATGACATTGACTGGACATGATTTGGAAAGGTACACACCTCTGTCTCTGAGTTCTGCAGGCAGTTCCACTGACCTCATGGCTTTGGTTCTGATTCAGTCTGCATGGTCAACTGTGAAGCCTTTTATAGAGAGGTGCGTGCCTTTCCAAATCATGTCAAATCTATTGAATTTACCACAGGTGGACTACAACTAAGGCGTAGAAACATCTCAGCAACAATCAAGAGAAATGGGAGGTGCTTGAGCTAAATTTCAAGTGTTGTTGCAAAGGGTCTGAATACTCACCCCTGGTTCACATGGTATATGTGGCCGTGCGGGCCGCTTTTTGCAAGGGCAGGAGAGCCCATTCATTTGAATGGATGCCCGTGACATGCAGAGAAGAAGTCCCTGCACTTCTTTGGAAAATGCAGCCCACACGGGAACCTCTATTCCCAGTACAGTTGCGTTTTCCATTGCGGGCGGCGTGCCATTAGAACTAATGGCACCCACGGGTCCGTATTTCTCTGTGCGGGTGGTGCGGCTTCACGGATTTTCGTGCGGATCCGCAGCGGCACCACCCGCACAGATGTGAACCTAGGGTTAGTCCTCATGCACACGTTTTTACAGTGGCTGTTTTTGGCTTTTGACGTTTTTTTCTACAGCCTGTAAACCTCCCAGCATGTTATCCTATGTGTCCATACACACAGACTACAATCAACGTTTTTTGGCAGGGACATTTTTAGGCTGAAAAAAAAAAACTCAGGACTAGTGGGTTTCTAGAGGAGTTTTTTTTAGCTGCAAAAATGCTCTAATGCTGAAAAACGCAGTAAACCGCCGCCAATCCTTGATGGGGAGCGGGGTACCAGTCTTTAAAGCGGAACTTCCCCTTTTGGGTGGAGCTCCGCTTTAAACTGTTTATTTATAGAAAAACAGGCTTGACGCTATACATAAACACAAAATATCACAAAACAGCATTTTCCTAGAAGGCCTTAAACCTACAATGTTATAGTAGAATAGGAATCATCTCGTCTCCTTACCCCTTTGCTCCAGTGACCCAAAATGAATAACCACAGCTGGGAAAAGGTGTGCCTGAGGGTGAGAGGAAATACATATTAAATATCATCTATACCACACATTTTACTTTAAGACAATATTTTTCACCTTTTCTACCTGTGATGTTTCAGCCGTGAATTATTTTTTTTCTCTCAGTCATGTATTAATTACCTCCAATCCCCTCTCTTCCATGATTCTTCACTTTACGGTGTCCCCCAGCCTATTTTGGAGCTCCTCTGCCTGTTAGTACCAGTCATAGGTAAGACAGATAGAGACTGCCACAGCCAAAATGCAAGTGTATAATCCAAACGCACACGTTTCTGCGTTAAAAATGGCTGTGTGTATAAGTGGGTGCTGCAGCGACCATCGGCTGGAGCCGAACAAAATTATCAAGGAAAAAATGTCACCAGCACACCGAGGATCACCAATATGGGTCCAAAGGTTTTAATAAACGATCACATAAATACAGCAAGGCAACGTTTCGGAGTCTCGCAGGACCTCTTCATCAGGCATGTGGGGTCACATGCCTGATGAAGGGGTTCTGTGAGACTCCGAAACGTGTCCTTGCTGTAACTATGTTGATTAAAACCTTTGGACCCATATTGGTGATCCTTGGTGTGCTGGTGACATTTTTCCTTGCCACAGCCAAAACACACGGGGTAATCTAGACATTATACCCTGCATTTATCACATAATGTAGAAGGCTGTAGATATAGAATCCAGAAAATAAGTGACAAGCATTTTTAAGCTACTCATTTTTTATTTTTGAGGTTAAGTACAATACTCCCACCACCAACTTCTTTTTTTTTTGTGGTCTTGAAACCATATGACCCCAAATGCATAGTCTTATCCCCCTTTCTTTTTTTATTTTTTTTGACAGGTGAAGTCACATCTAAGGGAAAAAATTAGACATTTCTCCTGACATCTAAAAATCTGTTCCCATCCATGCTTCTCCTGAGGTGTAATAGGCATTTTTAGCTGCAGGGACGGTTCAAACAGAATTACTAGATACAAGGATTAATCACAGTATGTGAAATGAAAAAAAATCCTTTTTTTTGGGGGGCTGAAACACATATTTAAAGAGGAGCAGAACTCAAAAAGTGAAGATTTTCTGTTAGAAGCAACATCTAAAATTAATAATTGCCCCAAAGCAATTTATAGTGAGATTTGGTGATGTCATTACTGTGCTGCTCCATTGTTCTCCTTGCTGGAGGCTCTGAGATGAGGAAGCAAAACCCGGCCTCTACTAAGATGACAACCTCTACAATCAGACAATGGGGGGAGATTTACTATCATTTTTCCTGTGTTTGGGAAGCACTTTTCTAGAGTTTAAAACAAATGACTCGTGTCACCTGTGGTTCCATGTTACCCTAGGTTTACTCCTACGTGTTTTCCAGAAACGCAGCGCAGTCCATTTAATGTGATTTTTCTATGGGACATGTTCATATCTCCGCGTTTTCACCCGATGCCATTTTTGGAAAGGGTCAGGGACTTGCTTGATTCTATAGACTTCAATGGAAACACGCAGAAAAGCATGTAGTGTATTTTGGCTGCGTAGCAACAAGAAAAATAAAAAATTAAGAAAAAAAAAAAGCATAAAAAATGTGCCAAAAACGCAATGCAGAAACGGCTCAAACACAACCTGCATAGGTGTGGACCTAGCCTTAAGCCACTTTCCTAGGATTCTTCTAAAGAACTGAATTCTGGAAGTTGTGCCCAAAAGAAACCTGGTAAAGGGCAAAAGACTAGACACCACTATTGCCTGTGGTCTTACTGCAGCTGATCTTTCCCCCCATTACTGACTTACCATGTCGACTTCCACACCATCAGGAGATTTACTAAAGCTGGTGCACACAGAATCTGGTGTAACTGTGCATAGTAACCAATCAGCTTCTAACCTCAACTTGTTCAATTAAGATTTGACAATAAAACCTAGAAGCGGATTGGTTACTTTGCACAGCTGCAACAGATTCTGTGTGCACCAGCTTTAGTAAATCTCCCCCACAGTGTAGAACAAGGCAAGGTGAAGTCAATAACAGGAATACCACATGCAGGGGCGGACTGACCATTTGGAAACTCGGGCACTGCCCAAGGGCCTGGGGTCAGTAGGGGGCCCCAAGAGATGCCCCTGGTACCTTTTTTCATAGGCTTTTTTGAGTTTCGGCAAGGACACGGGCCCCATGATCTCCTATTGCCCGGGGGCCCCATGAGTTCTCAGTCCGTCCCTGACCACATGCAATAATGGTGTCCAGGCTTTTGCCCTGTACCTGGCTTCTTTCAAGCACCGCGTTCAGAATTCAGTTCTTTAGGAGAACTCTAGGAAAGTGGCATAACATGGAAACACAGGTGATCAGGAAAGCAGCAGGAGCGGAAACACGTTACGGGGGGAAATGTTCCCCCCTAAAAACGGGTGGAACATGTAACGTTCCCAAAGGTGAACTTGTCCTTTAAGTGAAACTGCTCATGTGCCCTGCTCAAGCAGAGCATAGGTTCACTTTAAAGCCCAACGGAACCATCTTCATTTATTACTGTAATGCAGTCAGGTTACAAAAAAAGTAATAAACATGATTCTCTTCTACGATTTTTTTTTGTCAGCAAATAATGACTGCAGAAAGAGTCAGGCCCCTTTCACACAGGCGTTCCGTATGTCCATTTTTGGATGAAAGGCGGACCTCCATGTAATTCTATGAACTAGCGGATGTAAATGGATGATCATCTGTTTACATCCGTTAATGTCCGCATCCGATAACATCTGTATTTTTGAACAGACGAAAATCCTATTTTTCTTCCATTAAAAAAACAGAATGGATGTAAACGGACAAAAACGGATGTATACGGATACAAAAATGGATGTATACTGATAAAAAAACGGATGTAAAAAGGACAAAAACGGATGTATACAGATAAAAAAACTAATGTATACAGATTAAAAAAACGTATGTATACGGATAAAAACCGTATGTATACAGATAAAAAAAAACAAGATGTATACTGATTAACCACCTCCAGCCCGCCATATAGTAAATTGATGGGCGCAAGGCGGTTCTCTCATTCTGGGAGGACATCATATGACGTCCTCCCATTCTAACCGTGCATGCGCGGCTCAGGGAGCGTGCAGTGCGGCGATCGGTGGTGCGCTGTGTCCCTCGGACATAGCGGATCACCGATCCACGGAAAGAGCCGAAGATGTCGGCTCGGTCATGTGATCAGCTGTGTCCAATCACAGCTGATCACATGTAAACAGGGAAATGCCAGTTATAGGCATTTCTCTCCTCTCGAGCTGTCACGCTGACAGAGAAGAGGAGAGCTGGTAGTCGGCATTCTGCAGAGGGGACATGTACACTGATCATCAGAGCACTGATGATCAGTGTAGCCCCAGCAGTGCCACCTGTCTGTGTCCATCAGTGCCTTGTGTCAGTGCTCATCAGTACCACATGCCAGTGCCCATCAGTGCCACATCAATGCCACATATCAGTGCCCATCTGAGCTGCCTTTCAGTGCCACCTATCAGTGTCAGTCAGTGCCACCTAACAGACAGAATATGACTGAGCTGATGAAAAAAACAGAACACCCATGAGAAAGGGGTCTAAAAATACCATGTTGGCAGCACTTGTGAATGTCGGACCTCTGCTCACACACATCGCAGCAGCACAGCTCTGCAACACGCTACTCCCAAACACTGCTGCAATCAACATTCTTGCTCAGGCAGCGCTGATTAGAGCAGTATACAGAGACCTTGGCAAACCACTGGGAAGCCAGGCCGCAATGTGTTAGACATCCACCATCTCCTGCACTCAGGGGCTCCGATCAGAGGAAGATTACAAATGATATAGCATGTTCATCCAATACTGATCAAAGGTTGTGCAGCTCTATCACGAAGCTGGGGAAGCTTGATATCGACTGTAGTAAAAGACAAAAGAAAAGAGCGCACGAACCTTGCGCATTACCTCAGTAAAAAGTCAATAAATGTACTAATAAAATATTACAGGCTGTAATACTGACACTTAGTGGCTGAATGCCTCCTAGCTATGGGAACTAAACCCAAATTTATTTATTTATTTCAGGTACTTATATAGCGCCATCAATTTACACAGCGCTTTACATATATATTGTACATTCACATCAGTCCCTAACCCTCAAGGGGTGTACAATCTAAGGTCCCTAACTCACATTCATACAAATACTTTGGCCAATTTAGACAGGATCCAATTAACCTACCAGCATGTCTTTGGAGTGTGGGAGGAAACCGGAGTACCGGGAGGAAACCGGAGTACCAGGAGGAAACCGGAGTACCAGGAGGAAACCCACGCAGGCACAGGGAGAACATGCAAACTCTAGGCAGGTGGTGCTGTGGCTGGGATTCCAACCAACGAACCTAGTACTGCCAGGCGTTAGTGCTAACCATTTAGCCACTGTGCTGCCCAGGGGCAGGCTGACCATTTGGAAACTTGGGCACTGTCCGAGGGCCTGGGGTCAGTAGGGGGCTCCATGAGATGCCCCTGGTACCTCTATCATAGGCTTTTTTGAGTTTGGGCAAGGTCACAGGGGCCCCATGATCCCCTTTTGCCCGGGGGCCCCATGAGATGTCAGTCCGCCCCTGGTGCTGCCCCAACATGGGGGTAAGGTTGGTTACATCAGGTAGGTCCTCATATTACATAATTTTGGTCAATCTAAAGTTGATTGTATAGAGATTGTATGGTCAGATTGTAACCTGTGTGGTAACCCTTAAAAACCCTGCGCCACTAACCCTAAAATAGTTATCTCGCTAGCGTTCCACCACTTCTTCTTTTGGTGTCTCAGACAGCAAAAATAATGAGTGCCTCCGGGTACGTAGGAGCATGTCACCTCCTATTGATGTCACCTACAATTGATGTCACCTCCTATTGATGTCACCTACAATTGATGTCACCTCCTATTGATGTCACCTCCTATTGATGTCACCTACAATTGATGTCATCTACAATTGATGTCACCTCCTACTGATGTCACCTACAATTGATGTCACCTCCTATTGATGTCATCTACAATTGATGATT